TCAATGCGATGACATAAATAGCTGTGTTTTAGATCATTCTTTGCATTATCAGAGAAATGCGCAATTTGTCACAAAAATGTCACTTCGCTGCATAACCTCACTTCACAACATCAGTTTTCATTTCATAAGCCTGAAAATGGTAATTTTCCTAAAACTTTGTGACTGTTTTTTGGCTTAATTTATGGACCATACAAGATTTTTTTGCTGAAACTGGTTTATTTAAAGGGTTCTTTAAGGTAAAAAGAGAAAAACCAAAAAATTCGGAGAAACTGAAACGACATGATCACCCATTTTAAGATTGAAAGCACACAATTTTGAAACTAACCACAAATACACCAAATATGTTGTAGAATCAACTAAAAAAGTTTAAAAAAATTCAATGTTTATATGATAAAGTGCAAATTAGCGAAGGCACTCTATCGAACGAAATATACGTTTCGCTTGCGTTGGGGCGATTATCATCAGATTTCTAGACTGATTTTCTGGTCGAGACCCATTTTTTGCTTTTAAGATATAGACTGTTGACACTAAACAACTAGACATTTGAAACCCGTTGATATGGTTTTCGCAACTTTGCCCAGAAAAATTGCAATTTCTTCCTGGTGTTTCACCAGCAACACAACCTCCATCCTCATAGCCGATTCATGAAAAATAATGGCCGGTTTTAGGAGAACGCCTCTCACTAGTTCGAAATACTTTATTTGAATATGCTGGCTACTATAATGATTCTGGGAATGTTCGATGGATCCAGCCGGCGTACACTAAAACATTTGGTAAACATCCCGATAATGAACGGAGAACGTGTCCAGCGTTTTTTCAGTTTACAGTTGTTAATTTATTATTTAAATAAGCCCAAAGAGTAAATATTATAGTTTGAAATAGTCGATCGACTGACTATAAACGAGCGTTTTATCGCCCTGGCGGTTTTTACGATCTTCATTCAGTCTAATTAAAGTGTTTTGACTGGAATGTACTGTCTGAGGATGGACGACCAACGGAAAAAAACCGTCCCCGTACTACCAATTCCAGCATTCCGTCGAGCGGCCCCGAAAAAAAAACTTCAATTGATAAAATCAACGAATTCAAACGCACCGCAGCCCAGTAAAAACGAAATGCCAGTCTTCACCATTAAATCGCGTCTCCGCAACAGTCATCTTCAGTTTAAAGGTTTTAAACTGGATCGCCTATCTTCGTATAAAATTCCTCAGCATCATTATATCGTTTCTAAGAAAAAGTGGACTGCGTGGTATTTTGAAACAAGGGACCATTCTTCGGCTCGGATCGACTGCCCGGTCGAAAAAGTTTCGGAATTCTTTCGACGGTCAAATGTTAAGCTCTATAACATCGTTACACGCTGTTTTATTTGGTTAGATGACGACCAACCACATTATCGGGCTTAATTATAGCCAAACTCTTTGATGTTGGGCTTTCGAGTGATCAGCTGGAAAATGTGCGCGTTACCAACGCACTGAATCAGTATTATTGCACTTAAGCAATCGGAAAATGTATCTGTTGAGGGATGGAATTGCAATAAGACGGCGATTTACTGCTGGAATCAGCTGAAGAAAATTGAAGTGGTTTAATGAGTGGGAATTTTTTATGTTTGAAAGTCAATGAAAGAATATGCAAGTAGTAAGATTCACATGATTCAGTGCTTTTTAGAACGACTTCTTCCGACCAATCAGATGGACAGTTTTCACTTCAAGTGATTTTTTCTTACTAAAGACTTTCGAGAGCTTAGGGGGCGTTTGAAGTAAAAATTTGTAAACATTAAACACGGTTTGTTTAACGCGTTTTGAATGTGTTAATCGACAAAGGTCTAAGCACAAAATGACTAAAGGTCAGCCTGCAAGCCAAAACATGTGTAATTTCGGTTCAATTTTGTATCGGAGTTAAGTGATTTCTTCTCCATTTCGCCTTCATCCAGACTGGCGACAATTAAAACGAAATGATTCAGGTTGATTTGAATGAAACGTTATTCACGTTTCAACGCAATTCCAGTTTTTCTTGTGATTCTTAARGGCATTCGATTTAGTTAAATCCCTGTATAATCACTGATTTCTGGACTTTTGAAGAAAATGTGCGGCATTGAAWAAGYAAAATTGTGMSCGGTTAACATGGGGCAAAACATATGTGMMYGATGAATAAATCAATTAAMATACACACTAAAGGGAAAAAGACAAACGAGCAAAAGCAACTRGAGGCGAAAAAAACACGGATTTTAAACTCYTAAAAAGTAAATAGAGCAATAAACTAAATCAAGCGTAAGGMAATGASAGAGAACACAGTAAGCATTGAGAGGAAGAAGTCAAACRAAGTACTCTTTCAYTMAAACTGAATTAGAGTCTATAAGGSCAGRAACTAAACAGTGAGMCGATGCAGTTGAAGAAGAGCCTAAAATTTCCCAAACGGCTCCAACGACGAATCTGTTTGAGCCCTCAAGAAATTAAATAATCATCAAATCAAATAGATAAAAAAATATAATATTTTGTGCTTGAATTGCTGTGATTCGTCAAAAGGAATCTTACGAWCAAAATTTTACCAAAATGGTCGGAATTGCACTTAGACTTGGACTTGATTTAAACATTAGTCGTGATCCAACTCTCTCTGCAGTACCTTCTAGACTTAAGCRATTTAACAGAATCCAGAGATTTTTTCCAAATCGTGCCGCAGACAAGAAGGTCCCGCCTGCCTTGGGGCGCATTTTATGCCGACCTAATTTAATCCCGAATTTTGTTGCCAGTTTGGATAATTAATTTTCTCTGGTCATCGGTCCTCCCGCTCCATTCAATACCGGTTTCCACAATAGGGTGTTTTCATTGTATCAAAAATTCCTACAAACTGAACATTAATCTATGGTAATATATATATACGAAAAATTAAATAAGTTTATACTATCTATCTATTGCTATTTTGTTAAATATTTAATAAACCAATGCAGCTAAAATTCAAATTATTTATGAATCTCTAAAACGCAATCCTATTGGTTGTGACGTCTCTGGTCATATTGGTCATTAGTTGTGTGGTTGTGTTTCATTAATTATTTTGTGGATTTAAATAATTTATAGTTTGTGTTAAACTAAAAATGGCTTCGGAAGGATTCCTTAAAGCGTCAACAAACAATTTACCAGGTGTACATATTTTCATGGTTACCGAATTTTTAAAAAACGACGAACCCTTTAATTCAGCCGAATTTAAGGGTGTCAACGCAGCAGCGTAAGTAAAAATCCGTAAAACCATTATTAGTTACACTCTCCTTAATATACTAATCTGTCTGTATTGGTTTACATTAGGTAAATAATATATAGAATTTCACTTATTCAACCTAACCTAACTTATACTGCTTTAAAAGTAAAATGAACTCTTAAATTTGTATTTTGGGCATCAGGAGAACATGGTGATATAGGATATGTGGAATTGAAACGCGAGGATTCTTTGTGCACTGTACAAGGTAGAATTTGCCCACAACACAGAGTACGATCGAAGGCATATCCTGTCTGCCTCATCATTAGCTTTTTGTTCGTACTTTCATTAAAATGATCCTCGCACCAAAAAAACATTGATTTGGATTTAGGAACATCACGTTTAGCTGCGTTGAACCATAAAACTTTACGTGCATAATCATGGGGAGCGGTTAGAAAGAGTTTGTTTGGAGCACTTATTGAGGTATTCTTGCATCCTGGGACAAAACACCACTTATTCTGTGATCCATACATGTCACTATTTTCCATTATTCAAGATAATAATAATCAATAAAATAATGATAATTACAATAACTTAAATAATAAAACAAAGCTGCGAAAACAACAAAATAAACACGAGACGCTTTGTTGATATGACCTGCTACGTCATAATCGGGATAGGCAACCGACGATACGGATTTGGCGTTTTTGGCGGAAAATATCTGATTTGAATTTAAATTCGGTTCAAAATTATTATTGAGTTGTTTTGCAAAAAAATATATATCAGTGTAATGTTTGCCATGACTACTTTCTATATATCAGCATTAAAAAAAAGTGAAAACACCCTACTATGGATAACAACGTTGAGTTCGAATTGGAAAGGTTCGGGCGTTCAGATCGGTGGAAACGTTTATAAAATTTCTAGATATTAATAAAGACACCAGTGCCTGAAGAGTTTTTGATTGATAGTCACATGTGTATAAATACAGGGTTGCTCGGTAGTTATCCGGTGCACAGTTGCCTAAATTCCTGGAGCCAATCATGCCGTGCCTCCAGCCTTTTCAGGGAAAAGACAGACATTTTTGAGGCAAAAAAAACGCCAACAAAAACATGTTGAAAATCTGGCATGCAAAGCATGAACTGCACAGCAATAGAGTTCCAGACTTGTATGTAGGAACGCAATAGAATCGACCGGCATCAATTATACAACAACAGTGTAAATCGTTGTGTAAAATATGACTTGCCAAAAGTTCATGTAAATACGATTCGTCATCTGGAAGCAAAAAACATTGCTGAATATAAATCATGACCAGATCGCGATTTGAAATATCAGTAAAGATGCGCATTTATGTATTTTGTAGTTTCTAGACGTTGTCGTGGTGGATTTTAAATGTAAAACAGCGAACAGTTTTGGAAAGAGCGACTTAATCAATGTCTTTCGATGGGAGCGAAGCTCTCAACCTCACCGAAACTGGGAAATGTGTGCCTGTCGAATAAAATTCGGCCACTTTCTCTCGTTTTGGAGAATTGGAACCGTTACACGTTGTTACGTTATGTTTCACATTCTAAATTCTTTTGGATAATTTATGTCCACCCACGTTCATTAACAGCATCCGGCATCAAGCTATTTTTACTATGAGATGTGGCGAATTTAATAATAAAGTTCTCATGCGATATGGAAATCTTTATCAATCGGTTGATGATATTTAGGCGAGTGCTGCCAACAAGCCTTTGGCTTGTTCAATGTTGACGCACATTCTTTGTTACATTTTATATTATATAGATGATTCCATTAACTTCAGTTTTCTTTGTTTGCAGAATTCACCTATTGGGCAGCAGCAGCCACTCAAAAGGTAAGCAAATGAATGATTACCAGCATCAGGAAAAATGTTGTTTGCGCCGCCGGTATTATCATTACACAAGAACCAACAGATCGAATTCCAGCGCGTGATAGTCACTGGGTTTTGTCGAGTCAATAAATTTTTACACCGTAACCGGTAAAGAAAGTTTCTTAGGTGTCACACAAGGTCAAATTCAAGGCCGAAAGGTGTTGCGCCTCGAACCACTGCCGTAACATGCGGGCAAAACATCAGTTTTTGTCATTGTTTTCATAACGGTTTGGGCCTCATTAGCAGCTTGATGTTAAAGGACAGTTTTCTAGCGGCAAAACCCTCTTCAGCTGCGAATTTGGCGCAAAAACCTAATCATTTTATTCAGTTTTTTACCGATAGTAATTAACTTGGAAAAACGACCAAAGTTGTGAAACCCATTTGTGAAATTCGCCGCCCTCATCGCTCTGAAGATTTTTAAAGTTCCTGTAAAACTTCAGGTCATTCCAGTTTTAGCAAAGTGCAAAGCAGCAAGCAATTCTGTCTACGAGAAGAAACGCATTATTTTTTAGTTTTTCTCAAGAACACTGGCAATCTTCAAGTATTTTCCGCGAAAAATTATGAAATCAATTCTGTTAGAATACTCGCCTCCTTCGTCCCATTGTAAAAAGTTTCGAAATCCCTTTCCAGCTTCGTTTTTGGGATAAGAATCAAATATTTTTTTATCAAAACACAGTATTACCACAAATATTTTTGAATTAACTGCTCAAAACAAGGGCAACATGGCATTGAAATGCAAATGCATCCTGATTGAACTGAATGAGAAATAAATGGTTCGCTGCCACTGGCCGAAGCATAAACTTGAACCTCCTAGAAACGGGTACTATGGGTTCCAATAGCATAGTAAATATTTATTTTCGTATTCTTCTCCTGGCCTTTATGTTTGCTTTAGTTCTTGTTTATGCTCGTGCTCGGTTTTACGGCGAACTGGCGGCCAAGCATTATGCATTCTTTGGTGACTTTTTTTTGCTGTTTCTGTCCGCTGTTGTGGTTCTCTAGTAAGACGAGAGGAATGTTCCAGAAAATTAAGTGCTTGTTTGTACAGATTGGTGGCTAGATCGAATGGGTGCTTTGAACTCGTCCGATTGCGTAATAGATCGCATATCTACGTGATGAATCGATCGAATGCAATTTGAATGTTCGAATGTTCATCAAGTTCGTTCAGCTGATGCGATTTCAAGCGATTCAAATTCGAGCATAGAGGCGCGGATGATTTTGCAAAAACTCAAAACAACAGTCAATTTTCTAAAGATCCAAAAGCAAGAGAAGAGCAAATGAAAAGCCGGCAATTTTTCTAAAAAACTTGCAATTAATTGCCAATTTTCCTGCGCAGATTTCCAGGGCGTTTGTTTCTCAAGAGAAGGAGAAAACTTCAACATTTTCAAATTGAGTAAAGCTGCAGTTCTGGAAACATTCTAACACGAATCTTATCCAATATTGAACACACACATACGGGCATAAATGCAATCAAGGGCCTTTACCAAAGCGAAAAACCTCTCGGAAAAAAATATATGGCTAATCAGGTCGCTTTAAAAGGTTTCGTTGACGTAGTTGTATCCTGTCGTCTTCTTCGTTATTTCATTTTTGGTCTCTAGATCGGGATCATTTTCTTCGTCACTGATTTCAGGAACCACATTTTCATCAAGTTGGTAATGGAGAGGAAAATTCAAAACTTTATTCTTTTCTTCATTGATTCCTTCAAACTCTTCTTCGTTAAAGTTTACATCACAGCTGATTATTATTCTTCTTTTATTTTTGTCCCATAATCGATAATTATTTGACAATGCATCATATCCCACAAACAATAACTTGTTGCTTTTTCGGTCCCACTTTTTGCGTAGCTGAGTT